AATCAAACATGAAGAAGGATCGTAGAAGAGAAAGGCCTAAGTGGCTCATTGGAGTAGCACGTAGCCCCGTCTCGGTGGAACGCGGGTTCAACTCCTGACTGGGGCCACAATTTTCGTATACCAGTTAGCATCCTCGGATATATGTTGTGACGTCATAATATAGCCATAAAAGGAATATAATGAAAATCCTTGCGAACTGAATTCGGTAACTGTTTTCAAACGAATAAACCTATGTGGTCGCCAAAAAAATCCAGAGGAGACCGTAGGAAGTCACGAGTCGGAACCGGTTTCCAATATGTCAGTGGTTAATGTAAAACTATCTTGTAAAAGAAATTTAGAATCGAGATCAAGAAGTATTTTCTGCAGGAAAACTAAAATTCGAATGTCTTTAAAACTTCTGGATACTGCGTGTGCTATTCTCTGTATACTTGGATAAACCTTTTTTTTTGCGGGGAAAAAACTAAAAGTCGCATGTCTTTTGAACCCTCTGGGGACCGCGTGTACCACTTTCAGTACACTGGAAAAACCTTTTCTGGCAAGAAACCAAAGTCTTTTGGACCCTCTGGGGACCACGTGCGTCATTTTCACTACACTGGAAAGCTTTTTTGGCGGGAAAATCAAGACTCTAGTGGCTTTTCAACACACTGGGAACCATGTACACCACTTCCGGCTTTACTGTGGGTTTTGACCCAAACATAGGTTTTCCACCCAACTTTTAGTAGTCATTCGATGGCTCAAAAAATGTGGATTCCAAAACTTGGATTGGTTCCTGGAAAAAGCCTTCCTGTTGACAAAAAAAAGATCACGCTTCGCCTTCGGAGTAGTTAGCCCACTGGCTTCAACTTCCATTCCAAGCGATTAATTGCTTTCAATATGATTGAGATTGGTGTAAAACAGAGATCGAAACCATATTCGAGTCGGAAATTTAGAAGAATAAACCCTGTTTTGACGAGCAAAGCACACCTCAGATAAACCTCGGAGGACGGCGCATGCCATTCTTGGTACACTGATCTTTTCATGGATTTCTCGTTAAACCCCAATTTTCCACTAGAATTCTAGTACCTTGGTTTTTAGTCCCTTCTAACATCGCGGTGCCAAAGGGTTAATTCTTGCATTGATCACAACTCATATTACCCTAAAACTGCTCTTAATTCCCCCCAAAATCACGTCAAAATCGGCTCCGATACGACATCGATATAAAGCAGAAAATTCAAATCGAAAACTTCTTCTGAACAGAATACTGAGATCAGATGTCCCTCAAATGCTCGAGAGACGCATGTATCACTTTCAATACACTGACCTTTTCGTGGTTTCCTTTTTCGCGTGAAACACAGATTTTCCCCTAGAAATCTAGTACTTCTGCGGTTCTCAAAGGGTTAGTTCTTCCATTGTTCACTGTTTATAATACCCTAAGATCCCTCTTAATCCCCAGATTCACGTCAAAACCGGCTTCGACAGGACATTGATGCAAAACAAAAACGCAGATCAAAAACCTTCTTTCCACAGAAAAATGAGATTCAGAGCCTCGTAATTCTTCCATTATTCACAGCTGACATTACCCTAAAACCCCTCGTAATCCACAAAACTGCCTAAGCCCTCAAAAATGCAAAATGTGCTGTCAGATTTTTTTTTTTGATTCTAAGAGAGAGGTCTCAAGATGGTAGATTGAAAGTGCTGATATAGAAATGCGAATGACGATAGAAAAAATATCTAATGTTTTAAAGTAAAATCAAATTAAATCTCTTTAATTTCCAGTAGACAACAACACAAACACCGGTATATCATAATCTTCGTTTCGAGTGTTTTCTTAAGACCACAGCTCAAAATTAATATGCCTTGCAATAATTTTTGAGCCACGCATGTCAGTGGTCAATTGAAGAAGGCTAACTTACAGAGCCCGATACACGTGTTTCGATCTTGCGATCTCGTCAGTCGGGCCCTTTCTCGTCTTTTGCCAATCCAGTGTGGGTGCTCCAGTCCCCACACTAAGAGTTGGCGACGACGATCGTTTTACACTCCATGTCTAGTGAAAAACTTACCAAACACAGAGTGTTGTACACTCGATTGCTCTTGGCTAGTATACTCAATACATCATAGCGTCCGTCGTCGCTAGCTCTTAGTGTGGGGACTGGAGCACCCACACAGGATTGGCAAAAGACGAGAAAGGGTAACTGCCCGAATGATGAGATCGCAAGATCGAAACACGTGTATCGGGCTCTATGAGTCAGCCCTCTTTGACAGACCACTGACATGCGTGGCTCAAAAATGATTACTAGACAAACACAGGTACTTTTCGGTTACAAGGGGGACAAATGAATAACCGATCTCATTCGCTGTAGAGAGGAACTTTTCATAGGAGTGTTAGTGATCGTTCGGAAGCTAGGACTTCAGGCTACAGCCCCATGTGGCCGGACTTCGAAAAAGCCTTTTTGGCGTTGTTACAGAAGAAAATTCCTTGCGTTACAGACGCGCATAAATCTCGCCGAAGAGAGCTCTTTCCTTGAACTATTGACAAATCATTCAATAGCGCTATAAAAGGGTTTTCCGAAAAACCGGCGACGTGGTGTTGTAGCCAGAAATCTCAGCTTTCGAATGGTTACCAACACTTCTATGAAAAGTCCTACCCATGAATGAGATCGGTTTTTCAGTTGTTCCTTATAACCAAAAAGAGCCCAAACACTTTTTTAAAATACCTAACAAATAGTAAAAAGTACTAGTAACTACGGCAACTAAATAATAAATAATGAAAACAGTTGAAAATTATAAAACTAAAACGCTTTAAGAAATGATATAACAATTTGATTTTCACTGTATTTAGAAATTTCATCAAAAATCTTGAACTCTTTACAGACCAAGAATTCTTTCTACTTAACAACTTTAAGGAATGGGTGACGTCATAAATATGTATATTCGATAATATTAAGTGATATGTAAAAGTTTGAACCCGGATAGGAGCCTCCATAGAGCAATTGGTCAGCAACAGCCTTCGAAAACGGTGAATGCGGGTTCGATTCCCTGCTGGGGTTCGAAGTTTTGCGCACCACTCAGTATCATCTTCAGAGATAATCTAAATCCAAAGTGGGCGGGCTTCCCCATCAGTCGAAGTATATAAAGTGGGGGAGGTTAGGTTTCATAGTGAATGTCCTTCCACTGCGAATTTAGCACGGATTTAAGAGCACGATTGAACCGCTGAGAAAACGCGGAGGCAATGTGAAAATTGCCGCCAAAGGAAGACGATAAAATGCCTTGAGTTCTGAAGAATTGGCCCATTTATCGGCAAGATATAAAGAAGATAAAGTCACTGAATCCCTCAGAACTCATCATGACATCTCGCATCTCGACAGGACTTGCCACTCGTAAAGAAACCGCGTTTCTTCGAAACCGAGCTCGTTTTTTTTTTTCATCCTTAAGAAAGACCGTTCATAAAGAAATGACCACTACCGTTGGCTGACGATTGAGAGAAAAGAACGAACGAATGAACAGAAATGTTAGTGGTGGAGAATTAACTGGGCGTGGTGGACGACAGCGACCCGGCTGGGAACGATCGATGGATGCCAACGGACGACGGAGGAGGGATGACACCCGACCGACGAAACTAACGAACGTAAACAATTAGACAGGAAACATTTTGTTTAGACAGTCTCCTCCCGAAGGTAGGACCTGTTTCCTTACCAGATAATCGGGAAGATAAGAGGGGTGTTTCTGAGGCGATCCAGGAAGAATGCAGCCTGGAATTCATGGTGAGAGACGGAGATGAACCTCGCAACAAGTCCCTCTCAGCGTGGAGTTTCCAGTTCTCATCGACGGGTTGCACGAGTCCACCTCCTGGAAGCATCATTACAATGTACGATGTAGGAAGTACATCACCCATTCGGGCTTCCTGTGAAGCTTTCAGGCTACCTCAGGCCATAAAACTGAAACAGTACCGCTACTAAACCAGTAATTACCAGTGAAATGCATTGAATACCGTGGCTGAAACCTTAATGTGAGCAGAAGCGAGATCATCCTTGGATCTAGCCCGTATCTCAGAAATGGAAACCTCTTTAACAGGTAGAAAGGGGGCCATTCCTAAGGTAGGAAGAGGTTCCTTTTTCTTCCAATGTCACAGCAATTTTCACTGAAACTTCAGTGTGTTTCATACAATACCAGATTAAAGGAGATAGAAGGAATTCAAAAATTATCCCTTACGAACTATTTTGAAGAGATTTGTGCTGCAGGGAACCGGGTACAACCTACACACGTTTTCTAAGAATCTGGCCAAGATGCCGGGGCAACGAGTATATACCAGTAATTATTTAATTGTACAAAAACACTATAATAAACCTGGGACAACTGATACAACACGGAAAAGGAAACTGGTAGAATTACATACAATCTGGAATAAATACACAAAAAAAGACAATCATAAAATATGAAATAGCGAAGAAATACAATTAATGACCATACAATAGACTTGGATAACAAAACATCATCAACACTGCTTTGTTATGCGAAAGTAAATTCGGTAATTGAACAGATCAGAGTAAAATACTCATACAAAAGACTATGGTCCCCTTGTAATGTGCAAATCATAGTTACTAAGCCTATGCAGAAAAAAAACCACGCTATATTTCGAACGTCCTAACTATTCATAATTAATCGAGGTTGAACGATGAATGTACTGTGTATGAGACAGGAAAGCAAAACCAACAATCATTTCTCCAAACCGAGGAACAGAAACAAAACCTCATATTCTTAAGTAAACACACAAATAAAGGGGTGGAGACAGAACGGCCAATGACGAACCAAAACTCCTAGCCACTGAGATCGTTATGATCGAACATCGCTTGGTCATAAATTTCAGCAGAAACTGTATTTCCACCAAAAAACCGCTTATCCAAAGCGGCTCGAGCAGCGTCCACCTAAAACAGAAAAATCGGAAGTCATTTTTATTTGATCGCTACTTACGGTGTTATGATGTTTAGGTATACCCAATAATGCAGACGCTGGGCAAAAACGTTTACGTCAGCCGGGATTCGAACCCAGATCTCACTCATTCCGGGAGCGCATGCTAACCGCTACAACCACAGACGCTCGTTTTGCACAGCACTCTTTCAAAGCTACAACGCGTTAATTGCCAACAGCCAACCGTCTACGGTATGGCGAGGGTCGTGACCATCGACATTGAACTCATCTGTGTTAACAGATATTGGGTACTAATAATCAATCAGGAGTCATTTTTATTAGATCGCTACTTGTGGTGTGTTTGCGCTCCCGGAAAGCGTGAGATCTGGGTTCAAATCCCGGCTAACGCAAACGTTTTTGTACCACTCTACTTTATTGGGGCAAATCCAAATAAATAAATCGACTAAAATTGCGTTCGTCGACAAAGTGTCAAAACGATTGAATGGTAGAATCCAAAGCCAAAACAATACCTGCTTGGGATCTACAAAGCGTACGAAAATTTTCACAACACCTGCATTCTGATCGTTAGCTATGACAACCTGAAATTAATAGATTTCAACTTGACCAAACTACGTTTCTCAGGGCCAGCGAAATTCCACAACACACAAATATACCTCTAAAGGTATTAAGTGACGTGCAAAACATTCGACTCCAGGTGGGAGTTGAATCCGCGTTCCCACCCTTACCAGAAGCGCGTGCTCCCAGTATGGGTCAAACTTCGGTCCAACCCTGCCTGGGATCGAACGATTTGCGTACATACTCAATACTCTTAGATGTATATTTATAACACCATATTACTTACTACTAAGAAGTAGTAAAGTAAAGAAGTTATATGAATTAGAAGAATCACCTCCTGTACGTCGCCGTACTTTGAACATTCTTCTTTGATCTCCTCTCAAGATATTCGTCTATGTCTTCCGGATTGACCTAAACTAGACAAATGTCATCGAGGGAGAAATAAGTATTTGAACGATCACTTATCCAAGATAAATTGCTACACATACCACACAGTGAGAGGTCTTAGATAATTCGAAAACAAAACAAAAACTACGAAAATTCATTAGATTTTAGGCGACTGTGATTAGAATGAGAATTTGACTAGAATGGAAATCAAAAATAACGGAACTCTGTTGTAAGCAATTTCGAAAAAAACGCCATAAGCAGCTGAATAGCTTCCTCATTAGGCCACATTTCTAGACTTTTAACTCATGAAACACAACTAAAACAGACCATATTGCGGAGAACCAGTACTGTCGATCGGTTTGTACGCATTAATTTCGCCATAAGCAGATGTCTAGCATCATTTCCTCTGAAAATAAGATCAGATGATAGGAAAAAAGTCAAATAATAGGTAGGAAATTAAGAACAAAACGGAAAGCCACAAACCGAATCGCAAGTCCCTCTTGTGATGCTAATGTTGCGTCTTCGCTATTCAATTGCTCATTGATAACAGCATCGGAGAGCTCGCCCGCTTTGGCTGCAGCTGCTAGAGCTTGAGCGGTATTGAGCTAAAAACTTAAATCAATGCACCCAAAAGGGCATACAAACAAAACACTATTTAATGCTTTCGAAAAAAGAATAAGTCGCTTAGAATGTCCAAGTATATCAACCATTTTGATATATCGAATAATGTTGAGTGATCTGCAAAACTTTGAACCACGAGAGGGAGTTGAAGTCGTATTTCACCTTTTCGGAAGCATGTGCTAACCATGGCACTCCGCTTTCACTCTTTTTGTGATACAAGATATTGACTCTGTTATCCGGCATTGGACCCAACATCGGATATAAAGCGACAGCAGAACACGAGCTCCAGTAGTGCTGTTGTGGCTTGGACGCTTTTTTCGAAAGATAGAGAAGCGCGTTAATCTCCCCGAGTTTCTAAGCTTCACATATCCGTTTATATGTAGATGTAACATAATGTCAGAAATGAAAAAGCACTTGAATAAAAGCCGGATCGAGCATTTTAACATAACTAACTGACTGGAGTGCGTACTATTTTCATGTATTTTCTAGCAACACGTTTTTTATTCCCAAAAAAAAAAGACTTGCAATGAACTCATGTGCAAATTTCCGAAACATGCAAGCCTATTGAGAAACTAAAGAAGTTACATAAACGAAGAATTTTGGATTACTTGTTAAACGGGGACAAATGTATTAGACCCCTTTTGCTAGACAAGAACTTCTACAGGGAGTGTTAATAACCATGAAAGCTTAAATCACTGGCTAAATCGTGCGTGGCCGGCCTTCCAAAACATCCCTCCATAACGCTGTGAAATCTAAAAAAGATTATGTTTCACACCTGCCTCACGCTTCCATTTTTATCATGCGTATAATTCGCTGGAAAGATGAAAACCATATGAACGTGTAGAGAACGTTCCGTAGTATCTGAGTCAACTGTTTTACCGGTAGTTTCATTCAAAGTGAACATAAAACATTCCACTAAATAACAAGTTGCATCGCATGTCTAACACTATAGGTCATCGATCGATCACCCTCCTCCTCACCCAGCTGTTGAATAGCCGGTAAACAAGCTCATCGAATACGTCTGCTAAGTGCCCCGCTTTATGAGAAGGCTATGCGCCAAATGTGTGGAGGGTCAGCAGTACAGAAACTTGATCTCATTTTTCGTGTTACACTAAGATGAAACGGCCTTTCCTAGAAAATAAGCACAGCGTTGGAAAGATAGAAACTTATAAAATCGAATGATCACTAACAGTCGCAAGAAAGATATCTGTCCGGCGAGGTTTGACGCAAAAATCTTTTGTCTCTCCTGAACATTGTTAAATGAGCTTTCTCAAAAAGCAAAACACATTATTTAGTTCTTCGAGATTTGTGTTATTGAAGAGTACTAGCATTCTAGGGAAGACGCTTTGCCTAGCGAAATATAAGCGAGATGAAAAAAAAAAACGCGTGATCGCGAGAGACATAATTTCGTTCTAAAACTAACAGCTTTATTAAAGGATCTTTTGACAAAATTGGCCACGTACGGCTCTATGCCGAGGTTAAGCTTTCGAATGATTCCTACAATCCCATAAAAAATTCCTGTACAGGTAACGAGATCGAATTTACATTCGTCGCCGTTTATCAGAGAATTGCCGAATTTCGACTTTCGTCAATTGCTTCTTCAACTACTCGAAATACAGGCGCAAAAGATGGATAAAGAAAATCACCTTTGGCTGAATCTTCTTTGCTTCTACGACACGTTTCTTCTTCTTCTGAGGTTCAGCCTGATCACCACCTTGTGCTGCAGTCTATAAGTAGAAACACTATGGCGATATACAGTGATTTTCAGATATGTAATTTCTGCAACACTGGGAAACGCAGCACGGCTATGATATAGAAAAAAAAACCCCAACACTAGAAGTTGTACAAACTAGACAGATATATGAAACAACGTATCCAGAAAATTGATCAAGCTAGTGACAACAATAAATTCTATTTATATATATATGAAAAATTGAGTAAGTCGAACCTTTTGTCCCTTGATTGCTAACGCATTATCTCCTATTAGTGCTAAGGCCATACTTGTACATCCTGATTTGACTTTCCAGTAATCGCAAGCATTTCTGTAAAAATGGCGATAATATTCGGTAAAAAAAAACAACTTTGATACACAGAAAACCATTTACCATCTGGTGTTTCTGAGTTTGTTAGCGGATCTTTTGGCGCATACAATGGATCGAGTGCACCGAACGTCGCCGGAAGAGACAATTTCGCTTCCTGCTTGGCTTTAGTTCTCTCCAGAATGCGTTCCATCTACAAAATGAAATACGCGTAAAATATATATATATATATATATATATATATATATATCTAATGATATTGAAGGTTATGTAGGACATTTCACTTCCACGAGAAAAATAAACCAGCATTTCATCCATACCATTACACCACCGAAGTCACCGCTCTGTTAACACTTTCTTCTTGTGCTTACCACACCAAAACTGGTCAACGATTAGCTACTGACAACTGCAATACTTTATCTGAATAAGGTAAGCGGTATAGGTGAAACTCAAGTTCCACTTCGCGTGGATCGTATGCTTTGCGTCACTGCATCACACTTGGACCAACTTTTTGTGGGAGGTCCGAAATAGTCGACTAAAAGTTATTGTTACATATGCCCATGTAACAGCCGTACGCCATGCAATAGACAATCGACCACTCAAAAAGAAAGCCAAGGTGATCATTTCATCGCATGTCGAGTGTAAAAAGTTCGTCAGCGGTTTCTTTATAAATGGGGGTATATCTCCCAAGGGACTGGCTGAGCGTAAAGGAACCGTGCTAATTATAAGCGAACAGACCTCATGAAATGTTCAAATGATGTCACCAAATTATATTGTTATTGAGCAAAGCCTCGAAATAGTAGATTATAAGGTACTTTTATATATGCCCATGTGATATAGCTATAATAGCTGCTTGGTAGCCCATAGTGGAAATCGAATAGGGCTTGCTCAAACAATGGACAAACCATCAACAAAAACAAATCACGCCTTGAAATCGTCAAAATGCATTAAGAATAAAGAACCCCATGTGGGACAATGGCCAAAATGAAGTCCTTAATACCCTTGTCTTGAACGTCGAAGTGATCTGGAAATGTAAAACTCTGATTCACAACTGGTTCACCTGTCGCACTAGGATGACTTGTAACCACCTTTTCAAATTCCTCAATAGATACTGAATGTTATCCACCCCACAACTAAAGCGCTAGCACCATTCCCCTCAGAAAATTCGGTGGAATCCAATCCCGAAGACTTCTACTATGACAAAATACGTAAATTTATCAATTCTATGATAAAGATTACTAGATTTTCACACTGAATCAATTCGAAGCTACCAAAGTATCAGGTTAAACACATTCATGGCTTGTCAGCTTAGTCATTATAGTGACAGCAAATAACGAACGAATGGCAACTGCAGATAGAAATTTCATTTCATGAACTAGGGTATCAGACTTCAATGAGGTTTTGATCAAAGATTCACTGAAGTTTCACTAAAGTACAGATTACCGCTCTGTCACACTTTTATTGATTTGAAGAAAGCCTTTGACAAAAAGCGGTTATAGAGGCTCTGGAAAACCAGGGCGTCCCTCTTCGGTACATAATGATCCTTCGTGAGCGTTATAAAGATTT